TGTGAGACAAGGTAATCTGTAAAATTCCCTTCTTCAGGATGTGGAGGCCCAAGGCAACCATAAAATGATCTGGAGGCCCTGAGCCAGAAAATCTTGGAATATAAGCCGAAATCTAACCCAGTGACTTTAGCAAAAAAAGGCAAGTCGTTTGCATTTATCCCAAGAAAATTTTATAGCATTTAGTATTATTCAATGGTTGATCGGTAAATGCTTTGCCACTTCTTGCTCCACCTCCTCATTGGTGTAAGCAACAATAAAACCCCACCTTCATCCTTCATCCCCATCTCTACACATGACAGTCAGTTAAACAAACTTGCACAGTGCAAGGTGTCATCTGTCTAATTTACACATTAAGGTGATTTCTGAGGATGGCAGCTAAATGAGCGCAGGTGCTGTTGCTAGTGTTGTCAGCAGCTAGATAATTTGGAATTAAATCTGAGTTATCAGTAGTTCTATATCCCAACTCTCACTCACTGAAATAATGCTTGGACAGGATGTGTGGTAATCACATTTTTCCCTCAAGATATGTCGTGGCAATCTCATTTTCAGTTTTTGTCACAATCAGAACGTATCTCTCATAGTGCCTATCTTCAAGATGAAAATTAAGCATGTTTATTACAAATATTCTATGCAATATTAAGTAATTTTTATTAGGCAAAATTTTACTCTCTGCACATAAATAAGAAAATATTACAAAAAAATCCTCAAGTCCAGAAATGTCTTGGTAATATAAATTCTTACATTAAACACTAAAGTAAAAATACAGAAATAAAGAAAATGTAGTGCTATCCTCTGTTTTAAGACTATTACTTCTGTTATTTCATTATCATAGATATCAGGTTAAATTACCAGAATATTGCCTTTGCTCTTTGGAACTCCCACAGGTCTTAGATTACCTTCAGAGATGAGGATCTTATTCCCTTAATTTCCCGTAGAAATTATTTAAACAGCTACAGAATAATGCTTTGAATTCTCAATAAGTTTCTAATTTCTGGTTTTGCTTGCTGATTATGCTTGCTGTTGCACTGGTTTTTTTTCCTGAGGAGTCGCAATCTAAACTGAATTCTGACATTCTTTCACTACCACAGACATGTTTACAACTGTTGCCTAATGAAATCTGGGACAAAGTATGAAGAAAATTAATTATCCACTAATGTGAACTATCTGCAGCTAATTCAAATTACTTCTTTCATCAGTTCCCAGACCTTCTAAAGAACAAATACTAATTTTTCTAGACATCAGGTGTCTAGCACGAAAGGCTTTCTAATTAATTAGTCCTTTCTTTAATGTTTACATCTGAGATAATTAAAGAATAATGTCATAAAGGATGTCCAGGAAGATGAAGAGGTTTTCTAAAGCAGTATTTTTGCAGACAGTAACATAAATTGGAGAGTTTTCTGCACACCTTTGCTTGAAATGATTCCCTTTTACTTTTATGTAAAGGAATTCACAGCCGTGAGATGTTAAAATGCTGATCAGAGGTGTGTCATTACAGCAAATAAAGCCTTTCTCTTGGTGTAAATGCTGTAGGATATATTCAGATTCTTTTATTTATGCCTTCAAATACTGTTGGAGTAGCATTTCTATTGGAGTAGCATTTCTAAACACCGTTCTGTTTACCAGAAAACGCCGTGAGGAGTTTCAGTGTGTGGTGCTGCCTCCCATGGAAGGCCAGCGAGCACAGACTGGTCCTGCCAGTCTGGTTTGGTGCTGGGACTCTCCACTGCTGCTCTGAGCAGGGATAGGGGATGAATGAGCAGAGGCAGGCTGGAATGATGACATTTTTCCATATTTCCACAATGAAGATGTGCACAGGCATAAGCCCAGAGCCTGGAGACCATTCCCACTGTCACAGTGCTGCTGCAGCGCATCCACACTGCCCCAGGGGCGGCTGCCACTCTGTCCTGTTCACAGAATCTGTGTCCTGATCAGGCCAAGCAGTGCAAAATGCTTCTGGAGGTAAAAAATAATATAACTAAGGAAGAATGAAATGTTTAAGAACACAGAGATGCGAAGAGTAATAAAGAAGTACTTCTGCTTAAGGGAAATTTATTTTTAGAAGAATAATCTAAAAAATCATAATCAACTCTTATGACTGAAGATAATGAAACCACTAAAAAGTAATCACTGCCTAGGGAGGCAAAAATTAGGCTGTGTGAAATCAAAATAGGGTGTTTCTAATTGTCTTTGTGTTGCATGCCTGCATAAATTACATATTTTTTATGTTATATGATTTACTATTATCAAATTTTAGATAAAAACACGAAGAATATAATTTTAAATTCTGATTGTATATATGGTGAAAAGAGATGCTCAATTAATTAGGATGCTACTTTGAGTTATATGTATTGTAAAATAGCATTTTTTCCACTGGCAGTAGCTATTTACAGCATATACAGATGACAGCACATTTGTAAGATTAATCAGTAAGGAGTTTCTTTGAAAACTACTTCAGGTTTCTATGATTGTTTGCATCACAATCTGAAATATGAAAAGAAATCATCCTGTCATATTTTACAATGTTTATAGTTCTACAGCAGAAGGGAATTTTACTTTGTTTAATACTATCAAGGAAGATTGTCCTATGGCTTAATTATAGTTAAAGGTTTATCTCTGGACTGATTGAACTGCAGAACCACTTTTGCAAGATTGCCACTAATATTCTGACTTAGACTGCCCAACAGAGAACCTCAAGATAAAATTACCTTTGTTTTCATATTTGAAAATGTCTAAATTCTCCTTTAAAAAATCAGTTTTAAAGATGTAGTAAAGTTTTCTCTGTATTCACTTAATGATTTTGTCATGCAGAATTACTACAGTAAAATTCTGTAGTATAGGATATTTGGTGCCTTGACATTTGGTGTTCCCATATTATCACTGATCTGGCACTGCCAAGAGTTATTCCCTTCATCATTCCTTACTAAACCCCCCACCCAGGCAGTGATTACATTTCAGTGGTTTCACTGGCATCACTCACTTGGTGTGCTGGATTTGCCTTTCCTCATCACTTTGGAGTAATCCCATTCTCCTCCCTCCATCAGCCTCCCTGTGCTCAACAGCCCATGGCACCCACTTTGCAGCAGGGAGGAGGAGCAGCCTGCTCTGGGAATTGCACAGTTTGGGCTCAGGAGTTCACCTGCAGGATCAGCCCTGCCATTTCTGCACAGCCTGGCCTGCACACAGCAAATATTGCATTACAATGCTGTCATTCGCAGGGAACTTAAAATAATGGAACCCTCTAAGCTGTTTGCAGTCAAAGCCATATGCTCTTAGCCAAAGGGTGGAATGTCATTGCTAGGGATGCTCAGAATGGGGTGATGAGGGAAAATTTAACATCAAATTTATAATGGAGGGGGGCTTGTTTGAAGTAATGTTGGGGTTAGGGTTGTTTTTGGTTTTTTTTTTTGTTTGTTTTTTGTTTTGTTTTTTAATTTTTTTATCTCTTTTGTTGCCTGGAGAACGCAAAGTGAAATATTTTGGAGTCTGGATTGAAATCATATTACTTGGGAAGAGACTGCATTAAACCTCAAAGGAGCTAATGCCTTTAAAAGCATTGCTGAACTTTGCAGTTTGGCAAAATGTGCTTACTCACACACTTGAGTTAAAAAAGACAGCTAAAAATAGTTAATACAATCAGAATATGCATAAAATAACTTTAAGGTGTCAAGCTATCATCTCCGTTGGATGAGAGCTGAAATGGAAGCTAAAAATGTTAAAGGTCAGACTGTGATGCCTCTAATTTTGCAAGGTAACGTAGGTAAGCAGTTTTGGAACTTGGGGATTTGTCCCACCTATGTGTAGCTATATCAAAGTTAGTGTGCTAAGTCCAAGAAAATTGACTGAACTCTGGACAAACCAACTGAGATGTTTGCCTCATCCCAAGAGATTGAAATGAATGCAAGAAACTGCATAAAGTCAAATATGAAAGAATCACAGCCTAAATAGTTTTAACAGTGGAAAAATTCATTAACTCTAAGAATGTGCACAAAATTATTGTCAGTCTATTGTCTTTTAGATGCAGAAATTTCCTGTAGGTAAGCAAGTGAGAGAACACCTGGGATTCCCAATGCAATGGTAATTCAGGAGCTGGAGCATCTGTGTCAGATGAGATGATCAGCATGCAAGTTGGGGGCCAAAGCACTTGTTAAATATTTACTTGTCTAGGTAGGAGCAGAAGCTTGGTACCAGAACACCTTTATTTTGTGTGAGTACCTTATCTGTTAAATTAATGACTATTCTGGATGGCAGAATCTCGGAAAAAGAAATCAGGGAGACCCTCAAGGCAGAATAAATTACAGCTGTGTACCTCCTGACAAATGTTTGTGTAATTGTTTATAAAATCCTCCAGTGATAACTATGCCATGGCTACCCCAGGCAATTAATTTCACTGTTTCTTCCTTAGTACCAGAGATTTTTCTCAGTCTCTAAACTGGTGTGTTAGTGTAGTTTAAGCCCTTTGATCTTTCACTTATCTACTCTAACTATCAAATTGAAGCATCCTCTGCTCTTTTGCTCTTTCTTTTGTTATGCTTCCTAAATCTCTGATTATCTACCTCAGCTTGTCCATGTCTTTGCTAAAGCACAGTCGACAGCTTCATTTGTTTGACAGAGGCAACACTTGCTGAAGCCCTTGCCCAAGGTGACTAGAGAACCATTGTGACAAGGATTTTTCTGTTTTTTTAATTGGGTGTATGTATGTTTGTATGTATGTGCACTGTGCTTTGTATGTTTTTATGTTATATGTGTTTACTAAATGGGCACAAACATTTATAACATTAATTTTGTTATATGTTTGTAATGCTGTGATGTTCCTGCCTCGTGCTTCACTTAGTAAGGAATTTAAGTCTGTTTTTAATCTTTACCAATTTAGTGTCAGATTTTTTTTTCAGTTTGTCAAGACCACTGTGAATTCTAGACCTCTCCCCCAATGTACCTGGGATATTCCTTATTTTGGTGGGAGGTGCATATTTAATAAATGTACTCTCTCTTCCTTTCTTTAGGTTTACAATGAAAAAATTGAAGAGAACACACTATGAATCTGCCTCTGTTACTTCGGTGAGTAACTTTTATAATTTCATAGTAAAACACTATTAATAATTCCATAAATCCTGTAATCCCAAACATATTTGCACCCATTCTTCACTACTTTTCTGATGATTGTACTTCCCTGATTCAACTAATAGAATATGTTGTGTCAAAAACTCTACAAAAATTGATATACACAATATTTCTTCCTCCTTGAAATGACCTGTTGCCCTGTTGGAGAAGAAAATTAGAAAATGAGTTTGACATGATATGTCCTGGACAAAAACATACCAGTTCATGGGCATAGCCATGTTTTTCAGATGCCTTGTTATTTGTGACCAGAGGGTGAAGGGAAATTTAGTAATTCATGTATGCTTCCAAATGTGTGGTTTATGGTTCCTATATTCCCTTTAATGACAGATACCACAAATGACATTTTTGGCTTGGCAGTTCCTCACAGATACCTAATGAGTTTTAATATGTCTGATTTGTTGCAACTAGTTCAGTGAGTTCATCAGTCAGTATGAGGAGCTTGTTTAATCTGTTTTTCTTTATCCCAGACTCTTTTCTCTGGTGTTAATTGTTCTACCCACCTACTTGCAGTTAACATTTTAAAGCAAGAATAGCATTCAGCGTGTGAGGTGTCCTGTCATTCTGATAGTTTTCCTTCTACAGTCAGTACTAGGCTGCTACATGATTCTCTTACTCCTAACATCTGCAATGATTTCTTGATGTCTTTGAATCCTTTGCTGGCTTCTTTCCATCTTATGCTTTGACGTTTCTAATTTTCTTTTGCATACTCCTCCTATATTTTTAGTGTAACCTATTTCCACTTTCTTTGTGCATCCTACTTTGCCTTGACACTGGTGATGAGCTTCTGATGTAGTCACTTTTCAACTTCTGTATTGCAATAGGTAATTTTTGTGGAACTGAAACTCTTCATATTTTTTTTCCAGTCATTGCTTGCTTTCCCAAAGGATTTGCTGAATCTATTGAACTTTCTTTTCTTAAAGTCTGTCTGTTCCTATTCTGCTGTCCAGCCCCCTTTTTTCCCCTTTTTTTCTACTCAACTCTTACCATACCATGGCCATTTGCATCTAAACTGTTTGTCTTCCTTTCTTGTTATCAAGTATACAACAGTCTTTGCACAAATTTTTTTTCTGGATGTGCATGTGCATCTCTAAAACTTATCAGCACCATAATTTACAGATTAATCCATGTTGTACTCTATACATTCTGGTTTTAAAGGTTTTCTGGGTAATGTAAATTAATATCTTGTGTTGTGCCTTGGTAGTTGTGGTATTTGTTCACAAAATTTCTTTCCACTGCATTTTCATGATTTAGTCATCTGCAGTGGACACTTTCAGACTTTCAGCAAGGATAATTTCCCAAATTGGGATCTCAAGTGTCATGCATGAACATGGTGGCCTTTTCTGTTGCAGTAACATGTCTAATTTACTAAGGTTCTGTACTGCTAGTCATTAAATACTCATCTTTAAGTATTACTCTTGAGCTTCTCTTGTTTCTTGTCCACACTTCTTGCATTAATGTATAGTTTTCCCAAGCACTGGGTAGTTTGAGCCATAATTTGACTCATTTTCTGCATATAGCATGTCCAAGCTGTTGGATTTTATGCTTTAAGTGTTTTTCTCTTCATTATCATAATCTAGAACTGGTAACTAAATATGATTTGAGAAAATGTGTTCAAGTCTCTGCAAGATCCCAATGTGAAGAATATTGTCATAAATTTATTTGCTGTTTTGACTTCTGACTTCACTAGCAAAGGGCGGTGTTCAGAAACATGTTCAGTATTTATTGAAACAAAAAAGAGGGAGAGACTGTTAATGCATAACAGTATTACATGATGTGAGACTACACCTTGTACTAACTGAATTTAAATGGTAATGGTGGGAGGGAAGAGGAAGCTTTTAGTCATGGTTTTTAGAGTGCTGCATTAAGTTTGTTCCTGCCTCCTTGGTCTTTCAGAACAGCACTGCTTTTAGTACTGTTTTTAGTTACATTATGTTATCATTCAAAGCAAAGCAGACATTTACATTTTCCAAAGGAAAGGAAAATCATCCCTAGACTTACACAGTGCTCAATTTATCTCAACAGATGCATGAGTTTTGATTTTGTGTATAATTTTCATTTACTGTATGTGCAAGCTTATTTCATCATCAGTTATTCTATGTGTTGTCATAAACAGGCCTCTATTAACATGTTTTTTATCTTGCAAATATGTGCTTCTCTTTTCTGTTCCAGTCCAGAAAAAGTAGTCATCTTAGCACTTTCTGCAGTGAATATCACTAATTTAAAATAGTTACTTAGTGCATGGCAGTGTGACAAATGCAATACTGCTTGACTTTGTTAGCAGAGACATAAAGCATCTTAGAAAATGCTTTATGAAAACTAGAGTTGTACTAGTTGACCTTCAAAGATGCTTCCCACCCAAATTATTGTATGATTCCTGTTGGAAATTCCATTAACTCCTTCTCAGTAGACAGATTCTGCGTTGTTCCTAGTGCTGATCACATTCAGACTGTGTGGGATGTAGTATGTCCAACATGACACCATGATCCTGATTATGATGCTGCTGGGTATTGATTGTCAGCATATCTGCTTTATTGCCGTTGAATTCTCATTCAGGAGGGACTGTGATGTTTCCTTGTAATTTCAATGCACAGCTTTTGTCTTGGTATGTACTGTAAACTCAGCAGGCAGTGTTAAAGTTCTATAAAGTTATATGGAGTTCCACTCATGGAGCACAGAGAGGCCCTTGTCAAAAATTCTTCCCAGGTAACCACTGCTGTGACTGATATAAGTGAAATAAGAGAGAAAAAGTTGTTCTGAAAGGGAGTGCTCTTTGTCATAAACAGAAATTGAGAAAGTAATTTATTTTCTTGGGAATTTAAAATCAGAAAAATACAGGCAAACAAGTTCATATGGTTTATAGATTACAATCAGCCTTTCCTTCTATCAGATTTGAGCACTGAACACATCTAAACAGTACTAAGAAAATTGAGTTAGAGAGTGTGCACACAGTATTAGACAGATTGCATTTCTGTTTAAATGGGGTATTTAATTAACAGAAATAATTTTCCCAATTATTCACCTGTGCATGAGGAAAAGAACATACAGAATTAAATCTGAAGGAAGATCATGAGCTCCTGTCTTGAGCCTTCAATTTCATTGAGAGTACTGGCCTGTCTGAATTTGTTGAATGCTTATGGTTTATTCTGACTATTAACTCCAGAAATTTCTTTGTGGCTTTCCGTAATAAAGCAAGAAATAGAAGCCTTGGCAACACAGATTTGTTAGGATTGTGTTTGTGTTTTGTTCTGCATGAGCAAGATTTCCATTTGCATTAGGTCTTTGACAGTTTTTTTAACAGCAACCCTTTGACATGTATTTTAAGTAAAATAAATACTTGAAATCATAGGTATAAATCATGAAGGTTTTATAATTTCAATTACATATAGCAGACAAAATTGTCATTATCTAACAATTAAGTTGCATGAATTATTAATTTTTAATAAAAATAAATGACTTGCTCTCTAATTAACTCTGTAATCAAGATTGTTCCAGTATATCATTATATCTCTTAAGATTTCAAATCCTAACTTGGTTTCAATTGGCATAGTATTAAAATAAATTTTTTCACTGGAATGCATAAATAATAAATGTGCAAGTTGTTATCATGATTGTTTTCCATTAGCTAACTATACAAAAAGAGTATGCCAAGACATATGAAAAGTTGATTTCATTATAGTTTTAAATTTTTGGAGCTGTGTCTAGTGTTCACTGAAAACCAGACCCTATATCATGCTTTAGTCCCATTGGTATGCATGAGCTGCTGTGGAACTTTGAAGAGATTTACCCCTTGGCCAAGACATTATTAAGTCCTCCATTGGGATTGCTTTAGAAGAGCAGCCTTGTATGAATCCTGGCAGAAGGTTTTTTCCGTGGAGCTTGATGGACTTAATCTCTTAAACCCCAGTGAAAGTCAAATGAGTACAATGGATGCATAATTCCATAGGTGTTTTTGGAAACTTTCTCAAATGAACTCTAAATAATGTAAGAGTAATAAAAAACTTGTGGTGAATCCACAGATTCATGTTCACATTGATTCTTTCCCATTTCCAAATTCCACTCTGCTGGTCAGCGGTCTACAAAATCCATGCGTATGTATGAAAGTGTGTGTGTGTGAATCTGTGTATGTTTATACACCCAGATGTAGATGTACACATGAGCCCTGTGTACATCTACCGTGCCACAGTGATACCAAAGAGGCATTTCTTGCAGAGGTTTTGGTAGAAACTCCTTTGTAGTCGGACCATTTGTAAACTGCAGTCAGGAGAATTGATCAGACACGCAGATAGAGAAATGCAATTACTGACAGACTCTCTGAAGTCCCCATAAATTAAACAGCATGTTTTCAAGAAGTGTTTTGGACAGCTCTGAGGAATTTTGAATGGTCAATTTCTCCAACAACCTAAATTTTAAAAAATATGTGCTCATAAATGTAAAAGTGTTGGTAATGTATTTGACCTGATATAAAGACACCATCCAATGTGAACAGACAAAATTCACCACAGCAGGAGGCATCCTGGTGGAAATCCATGTGTTTATGTGCCACTTATGAGACTGGATATGAGTAGTGATTATGAATAGAACTAATCTCTCAAAAACACCTATCTCTTGCAATTTCTGTGGTCAAGTAAACAAAACCCAAATTGGCTGCCTGTTAAGTGTCCTCCACAGAACAGAAGGAACCCTGAATTATGAAAAGAAACTATAATTAGATATCCAAAATTTTAAACACTGAGATTTATTACAATTTCTTGAAAATACAGTCTTGTGGATACTGAAATGAAGTGCATATAAAATTCAAATTTTATTTTACATCTACTCAATTAGATTACAGCTCATATCATACCACCTACAGGCAAAATCAATCACGACTCCCTCTACATGCATACATACATATATTTCCTCTGCTTTCAAGGATAGTAAAATTTATTTAATGAAGATAAACAGAATCTGGCACTGGGAAGCAGGAGAAATAATATAGAACATTATTATTCAAATGCATAGTGTTATACTATTTTCCTTGGAGGTTTTTTTTTGCATGAGTGTCTTGTCCTGATGTCAGTGTCAGCTGTTTGCCAAGGGGTAGCATAAATCTGATATTCTGAAGGCTGGCTTCTACATGGGCAGGAAAGCAGTGACATGAAATGTCTGTGTATTTCAAGCATAAATTACTCCATTAATATCTCTTGAGAGAAGTCCCTCAAAAATATCTAAGGTATTTTCTTTAGAAAGCTCAGTCTCAAAGGAGTGATAGACTCCCAGTGAGAGATTCTTCATTAAGCTGTGTATAAAAACAATGCACAGCAGTAGTAGAAAGTTGAATAGTTGGAAGTTAAAAGTTGATTTGACCTCAGTGAATTAAAAATAGTATGTAAAGTTATGTCACTCCAGTGTGACACCAGTGGTACAGCTGTGTATTGAAGAAAGAAACATGTATGAAGTGTGATTTGGAATGAACTTTGGGCTTTGAAAAGAGAGTAACTCCTGCACAGTTCTCACCGTCTGGGGCAAACCTGTGAGGAAAAGCAGACAACTAAAGACTGCTTGATTCATTTGTAGCTCCTGCTGAAGCTGACTTTCTGCCCTGGCATTTTATGGTATTAAAGCAGAAATATGACCCTGATTGCTGTCACATGGAACCCAGTCCATGGCACGAATTCTGACACTGAGTTTTGCAGAGTTTTCCAGAGTGCCTGAGAGGTTTGGGGGAAACTGCTGTGGATGAACCAGTTATAGGAACCTGTGTCCCCAGCCTCATAGACTGGCTGTGAGTTCAGGGTTTATCTCCAGGCTGAGTTTTGGTATCAGTCATGCTGTCTTTACACTTTGTACCCAGCTTCTCTATTTTATTGCATGGGTTGCCTAATAAAAGGATGTAGTGTTTCCCACAGTGAGGAATTTCTGAGTTATTTCTGTAGGTTACTAAATTAAGATTTTTATGTAACTGCTAGTGCCTCTTTTCAGTGAGGTTAAAATACAAGTTTCTCTTTAGATGAAATTTTTATTTTGCTTAAGCTTTGCACATAACATGACGGTAACATTTGTACCACAGTGTAAAATAGTTGCAGAAGAATTTATCATTCTTCTTGTTCCTTTCTTCCATGGTTTGTAGGTCAGTGTCAGTAGAAAATTAAGTAAATAAACAGATATATAGATATATATCTGTCTCTATCTCAAAATACTTGACAGCAGTGGTTGCTACATTATACTTTGGTTTCTCCCACCAGAGCTTCACTTTGCAAGTCTGTTGATCTGTACTTCCTGTAATAAGGATTTCCTGTATGTGACCATTCTGTTTCAGTAGAGACATGCATAACCAGAAATAAACTCCATATGGATGTTTTCTGTTTTTCTTGGAAGCTCAGCTTGAAACCACTAATACTTGAAGATGGATTGTGTTGGCAGTACCACGCTAATTTGTTCATGAAATATGTAGCCCTAGAACCAAAATAAAAATGTTATATAATCAGGATTCTTAGTGAAAGAACATTCTCTTATACCTGCATTCATATATCATACAAAAAATACTAAGAACTACTTGAAAATTTTAAGCTATAAAAAATAACTCTTTATTCTTTCTCACTTTAAAGTTTAAATTGCAATTTAAATAAGCCCATTCTCATTTAGGAATTTGGGACTAGACCTTTCACTAGAAAATGAGGGACTCAATTTTTAATCAGCTCCAGTACATTCATATTGTGCTGTAATTAAAAGTAAAATTAGTGATGACAATTTAAAATTCAGTGAAAAAATTCATTATATAATCACAAGCAAAATTGTTCTTTCATTTGTTTGTGGAGTTGTGTAAAACTGCATTTTGGAAAACAGTTTGCAGGCTCATATGGGAGAAGATCATAAATAAATCTTTGCACACCCTCTTACTGCAATGTTGATGAATCAGTGCTAGCATTAATTAATATGCTTGAATAATTTTAATCCCTGAGAGTAAAAATTTTATATAAATCATGTTTTTCATAAAACTGAATTGTTTTGACTCTTGGCAGACTTTGTGTTTGTGTCATTGTACTAGTGTTACAATAAGTGCACATCACGTTTACCTCTAGATAGTTACACTTGTAAAAGATTAAAAAGTTCAATTCTAAAGTGTAGCACTGATGACTTTTATTACAATTCTTGAGATTCCATAATATAACACAATCTATTTCATAATTTGCTATTACAGTCTCTGTGCAATGGATAGAGTTGACAGTGAAACATGTAAAACTCCTATTATGTTCTCTGTCCTAGAAAAAACTCATATAGCCCAAACTTTAGCAGGATTTTATTAGTTTAGTGTTAACAAGTTAGAAAGTTATCAGAAGCTAAGAGATTAAATACTAGTAAGTTTTCTGCCTACTTTTCCTTTTTGATAGAAAAAAACCAAACAAAACCAAATGGGTGAATGCATGTGCTGAGACCTCTCCAGGGTCTATGTGAAAAGGAGTTTTTTTAGGGAAAGTGATGCTAAGCAAAAAGACTAGACATTCTTATTCTTGGATAATGCTAGTTAGGTAAGATTTAACACATCTCTCAGAATTACAAAAAGTCTTTCTTTACTCTGCTTTTATGATTAACTCTGAAATTTTAGGCTTGCTAGTGGCTACTCTTCCATGAGTTCATGTTCTCTTTTGCTTTGAACTTTTTAACATCTTTTTCACTAACAGGGTGAGGAGTTTCCTCAGAGTTCTTTAGCAGTCAGAACTTTTTGACCTTTTAACCTGAGATGAGCCAGTGCTAAAGGAAAGCAGCACAAAGCAGTAGGCTGACCTGGTAACTTATGCTTTATCTCACATTTTGATTGACTGTGTTAATTCAAGGTCAATACAGACTATTCATGCTTTCAAGTCAATAAAATTTGACCTGTTCGACACGTACCTAAATGATTTTCCATTATCCTGAGAATTCAAAGTGTCTGAATGAATCAGTGGTTTGTAGCACCTTTTAAACAGAAGATGGTACCAGTTTCACCCACACTGATAATGATCTAACTATGACAATTAGTTGGAGTGGAATTTTTAAAATCTCAGGGAGCATGAAATTTGCATGTGTAAACGGAATGTTTATTGCTAACTAGTCTGAAGGCATTCAGTCAGCATACCACATTCCAAACATACTTAAAGCCCTCCTGAGATTTAGTGTCTCTATAAGATGTTTCATGTTTTGCCTTGTGCATGTTCTGTGTGTAACTCAAGTGCAAGTGGTAAAGGACTGATCAGTTTACAAATTCTGATAGCTTCTCATGGGAAGCAGAGTCAGTGCAGTTTATTACAGGTGTATCTATATGAGGACCCCACCATATGATATACAAGATCTGTGATATCAGTGTAATACAAGAATTAAAAGCTCTAACCCTCTGGTGCTCATATACATTTTCCTTTAATTTGTTCTTCTGTCAGGTCTCTTCTGTGCTATGAGAATATTCTCTCTCCCATTCTAGATTATTCCCCAGTCTCTGTAGCTGTGCTCTTCATCTGGATTGTCACTACTTGCTAGAATTTGGATGCAGCAAGTCCACTTAGATTAAGGCTGTTCTCTGTGAACACAAGGGTAGCCAGTATCTTTGAAAGAATGGATGATCCACTTAATATAAGGGTCAAGACAACACAGAGCAATTAAAAGGACATATTCATTATATGAGTCATTGAGAATGTAATGAACTGCAAAGTCATGGTGCCTTCGAAGACAAATTTCTCAAATTCATGTCTGGTAATTAGAGAACAAGTCCCTTCTTCTATTTTTATTACCAGGCGGCGTTTCTGATTCCACAAGATCTTTTCATAGTGCTTAAATTCCCTGAGTGATACTCGAAACTCACACCAGATTAGCATTCTGTGTTTTGTTCTTCATCACATTTGTCTCAGCAGGGTAACGAATAACTGCAATAATTAGTGAATCCTTTTGCCTTTGCAGCAAAAGCAGCACGGTCTCTACCCTGTGTACAAAGAACATCCGTCAAAATGAATGCAATGGCCTGACAGGGAGAAATGCCAGCTGCAGCCTGGCATGTCCAGCCTTCCTGCTTGTGTCAGCTGCATACCAAAGTGAGTATTTCTGGAAATGATCCACAGGACAGAGAATTGTGGTGTCCCAGCCTTCAAGTGCAGGACAAGGCCATGTTAAAGGGGTGTCCAGGCTCCCCAGGGTGACACAGGTGATGCTGGTCACTGGGTGGGACAGGTAGAACCATAAACTCATCTGCAGAATGAGGATCTGTCCCTGAAGCATTTGCAAATGAAAAAACACACTGGCCTAAGTATACTAGATGGTGCTATGCAAGGAGTAATTCCTGTCAGAAAATGAAATCCCAAGCCTGAGGCTGTTCTGTTAGAGTTTTTTTCCTCAAGAATCTCCATTGTGGAGCAGACCACTCAAAGAATCTAACTGATATAAATGAAGTACAAGATAAAGCACCACTGGGCAGTAATCTATGAGAAGATTAATAGTTCATGGGAGGCATGAAAGGATTAATGCTTAGAAATCGGCAGAGCTGCCTGGTTCATTTGGCAAATTTGGAATGCCTCATTTTGTGTGTGTGTATGACAAGATAAATTTAAAGAGAGTTCAAGTGACAGGTTGCTTTATTCTCATTATGGCATTCTTTTTGTAGTAATATATTCCTATGTAATATTTAAGCTGGTATTTATGCATTTTGGAACAAATCTAAAGATAGGCAATTAACTGATGGTTTGATTAATTAGCAGTTAGTGCTAGGGGTGAGAAGTTCTTGGCATGGTAACAGACTTTCAAGTTCTTCTAGTTTCATAAGTAAATGTATTCTTGCATGAACTAGCACCTTCTCAGAAAGAGTCTCATGTTCTGTGTGCACCTGTACATGTTTTGTTGTTTGTATTATTAATCATGGAATATCAAATTACTTGAAAAGCTGTAACACTTGCTATTGAAAGACTTGTTTTCTCTCTGCAGTTTGATTTGGGCTTTATTTAGGGATTATTCTTTCAATGCATCCTTCCCCTCAAGGTCATTCCTTCAGGAATCTGTGTACCAGAAAATGAAAGCCTTCATGGAAGGTTGCTGGGAAGAGAAACAGAGGCAGGTGTTTTGCAACATGAGATTTGGGAAGCAAATATAGGTGAACAAGCAAGCCATATTATACCCCATGCAGATGTCTCCTTAATGGACAGCTGTTTTCCTGGGATATGATGAATAATTTGAGGTATAGATTAATTCAGTGGCCACTGAAAATATTTCCCTCTTGAACTGCCAGATTAGTGGACCACTGCCCCTGAAACAGTGCTCTAAAGCCATTTTGATCTGAAGCGATGTGCTTATTAGTTGTGTTTCTCAGGGGGAAGAAGATTCTCCATCACTGCTGCCAGTGTATTCATGCATTATTTCATTCACTACTGCTGCTGCTTATTTTATTCACTGTGGCTCCTGCCACACAGTCCTTCTGTCCATGAATTCTTGCCTGATCACTCAGGGCTGGGCTTGCAAACAAACGTCTGTGTATGTGTCTCTCAAGCCTTTGGCTCTGGTGTTACAGAAATCATATTATAATGCACAATTAATATCACTACAGTTTGTATGATAGGTCCTGAAAGAAATCCTCACAGATAAAATAATATCTTGGATAAAGTTGAGGACAAAGGACAAAGTTGAGTGGCTCAAGTACTGCCAGTATCAATGGTCACAGATGTGTGTAACATCTGTTACTGAGGCAGGGTGTAATGGGAAGAGTTAAACAGGAATTAACCTGTTTGAAAAGGGTCTGAAAGACAGTGGTGGCTAAAATCAAGTGAGCATATTATTCTGTTTAAATGGTGCTTCTGAACTGCTCCTTCTCTTGAGGTGGGTAGGTTGGGAGGTTCCTTATACCTTTAGCATGAACTTGAGGTTTTTTGTAACGGCATTCTTGTCCTGAAGCTGAGAAGGAAGAGAGCAGAGTATCTGCAGCAGTGGGAGGGGATGGATGAAGAGCTGCAAAGGCTGGTGCCTCCAGCCTCTGACTCAGGGCTCTGGGGGCTGAGAAGGGGGCAGGCCATCACCCACTTCTTTTAACCAACATCATAAATATATCAAGAAGTCTTTGGTCAAGCAACAAGTTATAGAATATTTGAGAAAGAGTTATGATTTCTGATAGAAGACACATGTGTTCATCTGAATAAATAAATGGCAGATTCCAGAGAAGTGGGCTTAGAGTATTGCAGAGCACAACAGGACCATAACCAGACTTCCTGAAAATGTATGGAGACATGAATGGGAGCCACCACTTCTGCAGCAGGGAATTTGCTTCTTTTAACAGTGAAAATACTGTTAATTGATAGTTCTTTTAATAATGATTTGTATGTCCTTTGTGGTTTATTTATATGTTACATTTTTTAACTGATGAATCTATTTTTTTTTCTTTTGTGATTCTCTCTGACTACAAATATACTGTATAAAGTACTTATGCAGTAAGGTAAAAAGCGGGGTTGGCAGTGAGTAAAAGGTGCAAAAATTTGCTTAGGAGTATCATGCAGTGTGAGAAAGAGTGTCCAATAAGAAAAATAATACCTATGAAATGTATGTTTGTGCTTGATAAGTAAAAAATAATTGTTTCTTCAGTGAGTCACTCTTCTTCACAAACTTATGAGTGACAGAAGTTTCATGGTTATGATGTAAAATCCAGAAGCTTTCAAACTATTTGCTACAAAAGAGGAAATTCTGCAGTCTAGTTATCAGCAGCACACAGTTCAATTATCACGGGCATTATATAAAACAATTACTTTCTTGGAACTATTTTGAGCACAAATGTAATAATTCCTCTGGAAAAAATGACAGATTCTCAGGACTGAATCATTCCATTTTGTGAATGAGAAGCACCTTGTGAAGTAAAAGCACCACTGAAAGAGCTGGTCTCAGATCTGTTCATGTGTCTTGGTCCAACCCCTGGTGAAGTCAGTGAGAAGTCTCTGGTTGAGACTCTCAGAGAACTAGATACAACAATGTAAATCTCTACTAAGTATTTCTACAAAAAATAGAAGAAAGTGGAGAATGGGTGCTATAGAAGGAAGACAAAGAGCATAATATAATGGCACAATGAAACACCAAAACAATTCCTGCATTTCAGCCCTATGGAGCAGGACACTGAATCCTGTCTGTTTCTTTCAGGCTGCTTGGCCTTACCCAGTCATCCATTCCATTTAACTTGGTGGCACATGGCATTGGCTCTCTTGTAGTTTGGTCACTTTGTTTCACAGTACCCAAGCAATTTTTCTTAAGGCTTGATGGGATATTCTGAAGCTGACTACCTCTACCTAGAGCAGGTATGGATAGTCTCCCCAGCACACACTGTGTAATTCCTGGGAGACATTGCAGGCATTATGTGTTGTGGATGAAAAGGAAATCTGGCCTCAGACACTGGCTAAAAGATTATTAATCAAGGGGTACAAAATGTCATGTTAATTCTGTGTTGGCAAAGGGATTTTGGTGTCTTGTCTGTTGCCCATTTTACCTGTATGACTATGTCTCATACCTCAGGCTAATCCTGCCTTCTTTGAACAGCAGCTTCTATTTAGGCAGCACAGTGGTTCTGCTCCTAGACAAGATGATTAACTCACATCCCTGAGTGGGAATCTTTGGACAGTTCAGACCATGTGTTTGCTTTCCTAATTGTTGATCTGGCTGAGTGACAGGCAGTAAAAGGGTTTAAACTGTCCCACCCTTATTTCTTACATTTTAGCAAACCTGAAAATGGAGGTATTTTCTGTTTTTAGCTTCAAAGATCAAACTACATGTTCAATAAGGTGAAGTTCTGCCATCTCTTTTTGATCTGTTATCCCTTAGTTGCCTTGAAGGTAGTCAGCACTTATCGTAGAAGCCCCAGTCATACTGTGATGGCTGACATGGCAAAATTGCTTAGCAAAATGACTGAACTCAATGGGCTCTATTCCTGTTGTCCTTTACACAAGCGGATGCTGTTGGCCCACTAATCTGGATATGCTTAGGAAAGGAAAAGTGTTTTTGCCTTCCTGAATACGTGTCATGGGCAGTCATTCAATGGAGATTTTTACCTGCTTTCCTGATGGTTACATATGAAATCTACTGCTTTGTTATGTCTTTGCTGGCACAAAATACATCTTTAATTAGGATTTTAAGATACAATGCTAAACATTTGAGATTAGTAAAAAAAAAAGTTCTGGGACATGTTTGTGAACTAGAAAATTGAGATAAATGGTGTCACCTTTAACAAATGCATTCTGAAATGTAAAGCATTTCAAAATGTAAAGGATAGCTATGCAGTTGATGCAACCAAGCTTTTCTAATGTAATACTGTTTTTAACAAGATTTAGGGCCTAAAATTGACATAGTTGTAATTAAAGTTCTGCATGCTCATCTACCATGGTATGCACACATCTGTTATTAAGTCTGCTCTACCAAAAATGATAGAAATACACTCTGAAATGCATTTTTTTTATAAAGTCTTTATATTTATTCCAAGTAGAGAATAGCAGACAGCTCCTGCAGGGAATGTGACTGGAATTGGCAAGTTAAACAATGTACCTGAAACTTTTATTTCATTTGTTAGCTACTGGTGATCATTCACCTGTATGGTTTTTTCTGTTGCATTCATAAAACTGTTATTAATATGATAAAAAATCCTATTCTGCTTATGATATCTGAAAGAAAATAGTGCCTATACTCTGAATGCATTTCCTTATGCAATCTTTCTGTAACTTTCTACCCTCTTACTTCATTCCCTAGTTTGCAGAAATGTATTTTCTGTTCTGTCCCCTTCCATTTCACATTTTCTTTGCTATGCCTGCTTTCTTATTCAGCATAAATAACCATTATGCTCTGCAGTCATCTAACTTCATTTATATTAGGAATTAATACAATATACCTCCAGGCTGTCTTCTCACTAGCCAGAACAAAAAAGGAGCCTGGCTTCAGATCCTAATGAATCATTCCTTTTTGGGGGAAATACAAAGTGCAGTTCACTGAAATTCCATTAAAATCTTAGATATCCATTAAAAGTGCAAGTGCAAGTGTAATACATTTAAATGCAGAATGGAAGACAGGCTGGGAATATGAAAAATGA